GTGGTTGTGTGTGTGTGTGTGTGTGTGTGTGTGTGTGTGTGTGTGTGTGTGTGTGTGTGTGTGAGAGAGAGAGAGAGAGAGAGAGAGAGAGAGAGAGAGAGAGAGAGAGAATATTCAGTTTTTCAAAATGTGAGGTAGTGACACCCCGTTTTAGATACTAGGTAATTAAAGATCCAAAGAAGTTTAGTATAATTTGTCCAAAGTTAAAAAGCTATGGCCCCAGTTTATCTTTTATCTTCTGCTGGAAATTTTATCACTTGTTCTGTCTACTTCTTAGGTGGTATGAGATTTACATGATGCAGCATTTTGAAATCTCTGAAAACAGAGTTACACAGAAAACCTTTAAAAAGCATAAAGCACCATATTATACCAGTCTAAGAGCTTCTTATAGAACATTCAATGTTCTAATAGTATACTAAATACAAATTAGTATCTTTTCACTCACTTAATTTGGAAGGTTAAGAAGAACTCTAACAAGCTTAGGCTGCTTAGCTCAGAATGCTTGAACTCTGACAACTGTTTACATTCTCCTGTTTTTGTTTGTAAGTACTAATTTCTATTGGCTGCATAATTAAACAAATTTTGCTTTAAGGAAACTGCAGGAAAAAAGTCCTCCAAGAGCTAGAACCCACAATTTACTAGTAACTAAAAGGAAGAGCAAATGACTAAGCTCCTGAATAGTCTTAGAGGTCCTAGTTCACAAGTTCTAGGAGATCCCTGATTATCAAGTAAGCCAATGCTGGCTTACAGAGCGAGAAGCTGGCAACCACTGGGAACTGACACCCAGACCGACACTCTAATACATTTGGCTGATGCAGCCTTTCCTGTGACCTGGAAATGTAGGGCATGTGGTAGCATTTCTGCAATATAATGACTTACCCTGTCCATCTACAAAATTCCTTTAGAATTGCAACTCTTGTGGTTTTAGTAGGGAGCTTTTTGTATGTCTTAGAAATGTTTTAATTTCCTAAGTTAAAGCTGCATATCGCTCAGGGATTCTAAACTTTGTTCTATTATGTGAACAAGGGATAAAAATCAACAAGACTGACTTTGAGCAAAAGTATTACACTTCAGTGTTATTTTTAGTGGCTCTTCAAAGAATTTAAGTTGGCAAAGATATTTTCAGGAATAAGGCACAGACAGGAGCAAATAAAATTTCCACATTCAAGTACCGCAAATTTAAAAAATTCATGTATTTCTTCTCCACCTACACATTTTACTATAGATAAAACTTTTAAAGGAATTGCTTTCAGTTTTCTTAACAGTTCTCAGACCAAGCAGCAGAAGACATGAAAGGTCAGACTGAGACCCCTACCTTGCTGCCTGGGCTCCCTTCTCGTCATCAGAACTCACACCCACATCACATGCATCTTCTGCAGCAGGAGAGGCAGTCTGCTCTTCCTTCTTACCATCCTGTTTGCACTTCTTTCTCCTTCGCTTTTTCTTTTTCACAGAACTTGGAGTGAAAGCTGTCTCCGTTTCCAATATATGTGTGATGTCTGAACTCTGAGATGGCCTTTCACATCCAGCTGATTTCGCCAAAGGTGTGTCAGTATCTTTAAAAAACTGGTCTTCAGTAGGAATTGGTGAGGTGGCAAGATAAGCAGGAAGCTTTTCCTTAAAGATGAGAAGGAAAGTTATCAATGACAAACTGGACAGCTGATCATACCTGCTAGACTCAAGTGCCAGCTCATTTCAGTACATGTTAACTTCAATACACCTGCAGGAACCACTCTTGCCAACTCAGCCCGGAACATACAAGAGCTATGATTAAAGTAGAGTCAGTTAAATTCTCTGCTAAGAGATATTCAAAGTGGCAGCAGTGTTCTGATGAGGTATTACACAGGATTCCATTAAGAACTTACAAAGAATAGTAAGCACAAGATAAAGCACAAGCAGAGATCAAGGACACACATCTGACAAAGGACAGCAGGGCAGGTTAGCAAAACCAGGACCAAGGCAGATTTTGAGAGCTCATGGCAAACTAACCTGAGGATGGAGGGAAGTGGTTAGAACAGAAGCAATGCCCTATGAAATGAATGAAATTAGTGGATATTGTAGCATAAAGCATTAAAAATATCTTTTCATGAATTCAAAAGAAGAAAGGAGGCCTTTAATTTGGAAGAAATTAAGCTCTCAATTTAGTGCTGAATAAATCAAGTCTAGTGTTCATTGAATCAACTGGTTGGCTATTTGTTTCCTTTCCTTTTGTACATTCAGGAGAAACAGGAGATAGGGAAGAGAGGCACAAATGAACCTCACAATTCAGAGCCCTCAAGTTCACACAGTAGGTCAGAAAATGTGTGGGTAGTCAGATAACTGTTACCCAGTAAAATTATAAACTTGCTCTGGTAAACTCATCCTGAAGCTGAAGTCTGGTTTACCCAGCAAACATTGTGTTCACCACCAATACACAACTGTGGTCGATAGTCTGAATGCCCCCACAGCACCCACGTGGGAGGCTGTGGGCCCTGGTTCAATGGGTCTTAAATGCATTTTGTTACACATCAAGTTTCTGTGTATTTCTTCAAACCTGTTTTATTTTTTGGTAGTGTTTCCTGGTTTTATTACAGTAATATTTCGGGGGGGGGTTAGAGGTGGAAATTAACCTGAATGTCTACCAGTAAGATAATATTTAGATAACCGTGGTATATCCACACCATGGAAACTTGTGCAGCTATTAAAAAAGATGGGTAGATTGAAAATTGCTGACTTGAAAGGAATGTTGATGATACACTGTTATGTGAGAAAAGTGAGAGAAAAACTAAACAAATGGTTTTTGTTAACTTGGAATCCCTCTTTAAAGCAGGGCCTATGTTTTAGTCATAATATAAAAGTAGTAATTCTAATGTTTGTTGGGTGAATTAAGACTTTTGTTTTGAAGAGAAATACACTATGGTACAGAAAATCTTTGATTAAGTCACATAAGGAAGAGGAAAAATGCTGCAAAGTTGACATTCTCCAAATTGACCTCACTAAAGCAGGTTTTAAATAGCACTGTGAGCAGCAGTGTAGCCAGGCAATGGATTATCAAGAACCCAGACCTACTGTTTATGTAATGACAATCAATGATAAGGATGATACTTGATTTTCAGAAACATCAAAAATACTTAATTCTTTTGACAGTGGATGTTTATTATGCTTTATTCTGTTCTCTGCCTTGTTTCTGATAAGGTGAAATTTTGTTTGGGTTAAGAAAATGCAGAAAAGGTAATAAAAAAAAAAAACAAGAAGTGGGGCTGTAGAGAGAGCTCAGCAGTTAAGAGCACTTGCTTGCTCTTGCAGGGGATCTGGGTTCAGTTCCCAGCACCCATATGGAGGCTAACAACTGTCCTTAGCTCTAGGTTCCAGGGAAGTTCAATATTCTCTTCTGTCCTCTGTGGGCAGTGCATGACATGGGTGCACTTACATACATGCAGGCAATATATTCATATGCATTAAAAAAAAAACCAAAACCCAACAAAATGCAAGGAAGAATAGGAGTCATTTGTGGTAGCACATGGCTTTAATCCCAGCACTCAAGAGCAGAGGCAGGCAGATCTCTGCGAGATCAAGGCCAGCCTGGTCTATATAGCAAGTTTCTGGCCAGGTGGGGATATAGGGAGACCCTGTCTCAAAAAAACAAAAAAAGTTTGATGAGGCCCCCATAAGCTGTACACTTCAGTGCTGCTTTTCACACCAACTACACAGATGCTCTAAGGTTTTTTTTTTTTTAAAAAAAAAAGACTAAAATAATCTCATTTTCTTATTGCTTAGTTTTGGTGTTATGTTTTTTCTTTGTGAATTCTTAATATCAAACTAGTAGTAGTAGTTTGATAAAAAGTCCTGTGTCCTAATAATTTGAAGCTTATTGTTTTTGCTATGAAATTTCATTTCTTAAAAAGGCTCTTCAGGTCTTTTAGGAAGAGCTACAGTAACTACATCAAGGACAGTTCATTCAACTGGTGTATGCATGCCTTGGATGGGCAAGAGCAAGGGGGCTGGTATGAATTGTGCTTCCTGTAGACGAGGCCAAATACACACTCATTTATAAAAGCAAATAGGCCAATTAATTTAAATCTCTTGAGATCATAATTCAGTGGCTATTAAGTATATAATATTCCTAAAAAAACAGTAATAGTTTTTTAGAATATTTATTTATATGGGGGGGGTGTACTATGGCACCTGTAGAGCAGTCAGAGGACAACTTTGTGGAGTAGTTTTCTCCTTCCATCTTTATGTGGCTCTGGGGATCAAACTCAGTCTGTTATCTTTACCCACTGAGTCATCTCTCTGTTCCAAGTAATCGTATCTTCTGAGTTTAAAGGTCATACCCTCACACATAGCCTGAGATACGCCTTGAGGCAGAACCAAATAAATTCAAATCAAGTTATAAACTGCAAAGGATTTGTGGGAATGCCTTCTGTTACTAATAGGGACATTCTTCTTTTATAAAACAAACAAGGGGGAACTGCAGGAATAATTTACCTAATCTTATAACCAAATTAATTTTATGTTTTGAGATCATTTAACACCCCTCACATTGTTTATAATGTAAAGGTTACATTAGGAACCCAAGTCCTCTCGTAACCAAACAGTGTACTATGGCACCTGTAGAGCAGTCAGAGGACAACTTTGTGGAGTAGTTTTCTCCTTCCATCTTTATGTGGCTCTGGGGATCAAACTCAGTCTGTTATCTTTACCCACTGAGTCATCTCTCTGTTCCAAGTAATCGTATCTTCTGAGTTTAAAGGTCATACCCTCACACATAGCCTGAGATACGCCTTGAGGCAGAACCAAATAAATTCAAATCAAGTTATAAACTGCAAAGGATTTGTGGGAATGCCTTCTGTTACTAATAGGGACATTCTTCTTTTATAAAACAAACAAGGGGGAACTGCAGGAATAATTTACCTAATCTTATAACCAAATTAATTTTATGTTTTGAGATCATTTAACACCCCTCACATTGTTTATAATGTAAAGGTTACATTAGGAACCCAAGTCCTCTCGTAACCAAACATAGCTTTAATCCCTCATGACCCTTCCTTGTCTTTGACCCAGGATAATGTATGTGTATATGTTGTAAATATCGAGCCCTGCAGCTTATGTTGCAAATAACAGGTGGTATTAGACTGATAACATCTGTTTGTGGGTGTGTATACTATTCTAGGCCAGCAATGGTCAGAAAGAACAAATTCCCTGATAAGACAAATTCTGGATATACAGTTTCAATAAAGAGAGAGCAAAGCCTTTGTTCAAGAGCACAGTTCTGGGAGAAATAGAAGGAACAGGTTCTCAGAACAGTCTGGGCCACACTCTTGATTGAAATGGGTGCTGGTCAGGATGTCTTTGTTCAGGTATTGTTGTCATGTGGCTTCTCACAGCCGCAGATGGAGAGTAGGAAGGCCCTTGGGTATGAGAAAAGAGGTTTTCTGTGTGTTCTCTCCACCCTGAAAGCGGGTGTGGAGGATTTTCTCAACCCCTCAGCTCCCTTTTGGCAGTTTAGTTTAACATGTAACTAAAGCTTGCCAAAGCCAACAATCATATACAACCAGGGAAACTGCTAACCATTTGTTTTGGGACATGTTCTAGAAGCTAAACACAATGTGCAAAGTGGCTGTAACCATTGGGAACTTACATATTCTTCTTCAGTCTCCTCCACAAAGAAAGCTTCTCCATTGTCACCCAATTTCATGTGAAGATCCACTGCATTGCCATTGATTTCTATATCAATCTAAGGGCAGAAACCAAGTGTGATTCAGCATTCAAAGAGTCACTGAGGCTAACCCTGAACATATATTCTGGGTTCTCAAGACAAATTTGTTATTGGGTTTCTAGAGCTACAGCCCCAGAGAAACACTACCACCAGTCTCCATGGCCCACTCCTACAAGAAACCAATGTGGGCAAAAAGAGAGACAGGTAGCCAGGGATTCAATGAAAGTGTTTGCCATTTATTTTCATAGCATTTTAAAATTTTATTGTCTAATTTCTCTTTGCAGGGGGCAGGGTCCTGCTGTGTAGCCTAGCCTGGCCTCAAACTCATAGAAATCCTACCTCAGCTTCCCAAGAGCTAGGATTACAGGTTTGTGCCACCATGCCCAGCTACACTTTCTAAGTTACAGTATAAGTAAGTCTCATCTGCAGAATTCAGACACTCACATGTCTTAGTAATCCTAATGTGTGAGTTGTGATCAAATCTCCTGCCAGCTCTTTTATCTAGGTCACTGTGTAATAACAGATGCCGTCAGGACCAGTTACTGGCCACTATGGTCTGCTATTCAGCTCAGGCACAAAGCAAAGCCTGGTAGTTATGTGCTCACCTACCTCCCAGCCACAAACACACATAACTTATTTTATGTGCATATATGTATATGTAAATGTCTATGTATGTGTGGTGTATGCTTGTATATGTGTATGTGAAGGCCAGAGGTCAACCTCAGGTGTCATTCCACAGATACTGTTCACCTTGTTTTTGAGAAGGGCTCTCTCACTAGGACCTGGGGCTGGGGCTCACCTGATTAGGCCAGGTGGGCCTGTCTCCTTGCTCCCCCAGTACTGGTTATGACATGCCTGCACTTTTACATGGGTTCCGGGGCTTGAACTTGGGTCCTCATGCTTGTATAGCTCACTTGACCAGCTGAACCTTCTCATCAGTCCCAAGGAGCATTTTATAATAATGAACAACTAAAAGAGGAAATTATTGGCCAAAATATGAAAGTACAGCAAAGAAACAAAGAACTGAATGCTGGAAGAAAAATTCAAATCAAACTTGAGAGAGTTACAGAAGAAACAGCTCACTATGGAAACCACAAGCTTGGAGTCCTTGGACAGACATAGATGTGCAGCCAGAACTACATATAGAAAGAGGCCTTCAGATTCACTAAAAATGTCTAGAGACAAGTTTTATCTATATTGAGTTATAAATCTAGACCTGTTTCTTGGTCTGCCAGTTGATCAATCCTAGAAGCAACACCCCTGTAGTAGTGATAGCAACAAGTGCAGACCTCCATGGAGACATAAAAAAGTAATTCTAAGGTGGAAGAAGGGATAGACATTTTTCCTGGATTACCAGATGAAGCTTGAGCAACTAAAACAGTAATACTATGTAAGGGAAGACCTACAATATAAAACTAATGAGTTCATATGGATAGAATTGAGTAACTGAGGGGCTGGAGAGGTGACTCAGTGGTTAAGAGCACGGGCTGCTCTTGCAGAGGACCTGGGTTTGGTTCCCAGCACACACATGGCTGCTAACAACCACCTGTGACTCCAGTTCCAGGGAATCTGACAACCTTTTCTAGTCTTCACATGACACAGGTGCACTTACATACTTGTAAAACACTCATACACATAAAATAAATAATAAATAAATAAAAAAGAAAGAAACAGTACCTGAATGAAGCAGATATGAAAGCAAGGGTAATTCTTCAAAAGAGAACTTCAATGAACTGGAATAAGAAGGATGAAAACAAAAAGCCGGCAAACACTATTATGTTTACAAACACTATGCTTACAAAACTGTTACTTTGTAAACAAAATTACCAATTCATGTTAAAATGTATGAGAAACAATATGGGAAACAGGATATTTGCATAGCACACTTAAAAGAGTAAATCCAACTTCCTCCTACGAGTAGATTCAAAGCAGAGAAAACCCAGCAGACACCATGAAACAAAGCTCAAAAAGTGATTATCAACAGCAATGAGACAGTAGTACAGATGACCACTGCCTGATGTGTTGCCCTAGGCAAGGGACAGCAGCACTGTGTTCTTACCCCAAAGGACCAAATGACAAACTCCAACTGAGGGAGAGTCTACACAATAGTCACAGAGAAGGACTGAGGACAGGTAGGACAAAGTCAACATGAATATAGGATCCTGGAACTGAAAGCAGGTAGTCCCAGAAAAATGGGTGAAATCTGAGTAAGATCTTTAGTCGGTAGTATTATCCCAGTATTAATTTCTGGGTTCAGTAATGTACAATGGTCATATAAAATGCTCACATTAAGGGAAGGAAATGAGGTAATACAAATTTTATTTTTACTTTTTAAAAATTTATGATCATGGGGGCGGGTGTGCACAGGCCATGGCACATACATGAAGGTCAGAGGACAACTTCCAGGAGTTGGTTCTCTCCTTCTACAGTGGTCCCAGGGATTTAACTCAGGTTGTCAAGCTTGCTTGGTAATAAGCATTTTTACTTGCTGAGCCTTCTCACCCACCCAAAAGAAGTTTTTCTCAACTGCATTTGTGACTTGTCTAGAAGTCAAAAATCAACTCAAAAAAAGAAGTTAAAAAATAAGTCAAAGTCATGTGTCATGGCCCAACTCCACAATCCTGGCACTTGGGAGGCTGAGGAAGGAGGATGGTGAATTTGGAGCCAGTCTGGGCTCTGCACAGTAAGTATCCTGGGCCAACCTGGGCTATATAGTGAGACCATACCACAAACCAACCAGTCAGGTAAAAAGTTACAAAGCATGTGGAACTGCCACAGAGTGGAGGAAACCAAGAGGACAGGGTAAGACTCAGAGGGTAAGACAAGAGGCCAAGGCAAATCATCTTAAGGCAGACATGGTGTGGTTTTAGTTCTTAAGAAAGCTGTGTTTTGGTAAATAAAATGGTGACATTTCTGCCCAAATACCCCCTCTGGATTCTGTGATCTCAAGGGAGAGAGCAGAAAAGAAGAAATTTTCTTGTGTATTATGCTAGTAAAAGTACTAGGATTTAGACAAGGTATTTAACACAATGGAATTAATCGTGTAGCCTGGTACAGAAAGCGAATCCCTCAATCAGAGGTATAAAGCATGCAGACAAAGGCACCTTATTTGTTCATCATCACTTAAGAGATGGCAAGTGCTTACATACACCTTCTAGCAGTTCCATTCGAGTTAGTCTATGGATCAAAAACCTGGTTCAGGGGAAAAGACCTCCAAAGCAATTTTGTAACAGATCACTGGGAAATTAACAGGAACTTCAGGGCATAAAGAGTCTGATTCTCCCCAAACAGATCAAACCTCAAAGCACTAATAGTGTTACTGCAGGTGGGTGGGCAGGCACACCTGAGCAGGCAAAACTGTGGCTAGACAACCCCACTGTGGATTGGAAAGCTTCCAAGTCCCTGAGAGAAACAAAGTGCTTTTGGTTTCTAAAAGGCGATACAGCAAGGCCAGCCACACTAACCCCGCCACTCTGAAGTGTAGTTCTCCAGTGGAAACCAATTTTGTAACACTCAGAAAAGAGAACTTTTTCTAGCACCAAAAATGTCTAGTTTTGTGAAACCCATTTTCTTTCACTTTCAAAAACAATCTAAGTTTAATCAGAGGGAATAGAATCATAGAGTATCAACTATATAAAATAGTAAAAATCTGATAACATGCTCTTAACTTCATAGATTGGTCCTTTCATGCACAAACTTAGATCTATATTAGAAAATGGAGATTTCAAGGCTGGAGAGATGATGGCTCGGTGGTTAAGAGCACTGTTTGTTCTTGCAGAGGACCCGGGTTCAATTCCCAATACCTACATGGTAGCTAACAACTATCCATAACTCCAGTTCCAGGGGAACTGATGCCTTCTTTTGACCTCCACAGACACTGTATGACATGGGTGCACTTACACACATGCAGGCAATACACTCATACACATAAAATAAAAATAATAATAAAAAAAGAAATTGGAGAGTTCTCACAGGGTTCCAAAATCTTAATAAATCACACTTTTGAGACAGATAACCAGAGAGGAGAATGCTACCTCCTACATGTATTATGAAGCTTCATTAGTAACTTAGTTTTTAAACTTATCATATATATATATATATATGCATGCTTTGGAAAACTTCCCTACTACCCAATACTTAAGACAAAATATTAAAAACCCAAACCAAAATTAAAGCAAAAAAGAAAAGATAACACATACACAAACAATAATGTGTCATTAATTTCTTTTGAATGAATATAATCTATACTGATTACACCAGCCTATTCCATTCATAATTAGTCTAAAGACATTGTCTTATTTATTTAGACATGTTCTCATGTAGCCTAGGCTATTTTCAAACTCACAATGTAGCTAAGCATGACCCTGAAGTTCTGATCTTTCTGCCTCTACCTCCTGAGTGCTTGGATTATAGGCAGGTACCACCATGCCTGGTTTTATGCACTGCTGGGGACTGAACCAGGGCTGCTTTGTGTATGCTAAACAAGCACTCTATTAACTGAGTTATATCTCCAGTCTATATTATTTTATTTCACTTCCCTTTAAAGAGCCTTTAAATTTTAAAAAAATTTTATTTTTATTGGGGGGGGGCGGCAGAACGCATACAGAGGTCAAAGGACAACCTGCATGTGTTTGTTTCTTTCCTTCTACTATCTGGGTCTTGGAGACTGAACTCGGGTTGGCAGGGTTGGCAGCAAGCACCTTTATCTGCTGAGCCTCTCACCGACCCTATATGATTTTAAAGTGCTATATTATGTGAAAGAAATTTTCCCCTTATGCCTAACTTTGTAACTATTTTCTCTGCTTTGCTCTTCAGAATATCAATATGTAGGATTAGTATAATAATTTCCAGTTTCTGTTTCTTTTGGAGAAACTCCCTGTGATAGGGCTGTGCTGGACAACTTCAGTTGCCAACTTGACATATCTGGGAAAAGGGAACCTCAACTAGGGAATTTCTTCTAACTGGCCTGTGGCCATGTCTGTGAGGCATTTTCCTGATTGTTGAGTGAGATGAGAGGGCCCAGTCCAAGGTAAGTGGCACCACCCTGGGGCAGGTGGTCCTGGGCTGTATAAGAGATCAGGCTGACCATAGGTCAAGAGAGAGAGGCAGCAAGCAGTGTTCCTTTGTGGCCTGTGCTTTAGTTCCTGCCTCCAGGTTCCCTTGATGATGGACTGTGAGCTGTAAGTCAAATAAACCCTTTCCTTCCCAAGTTGGTTTTGATCAGTGCTTTACCACAGCAATAGGAAACAAACTAAGGGCCTTTTGAACTTAGAAGCAACTTGAAAAGCAATACCTAAGGCTAATTTCTCATCACAGTCTTCTACAGTAAACATAAAGAATAAGATGGGTGTGGTGACAGAGGCAGAAGGATCTGAGTTTGGGGCCAGCCTGGTCTACACGGTGAGTTTCAGGCCAGCCAGGGTTACACAGTTAAGACACTGTCTCGAACCACTCAATCCCCCAAAAGACTCCAAATGAAAACAAAGAATAAGAAGGAAAAAGGCAGAAGATCACCATGCTGTTCCTGCCTTGAGCACATGCTGTACACCGCACTTACCACCTTCTCCTTGGACCTCAGGACTCCCAGCTTCCCAAACCGCACGTGAAAAGGGGAGCACTGGTAGGTGCCATCCTGCTGCCGCACAACAACAATGTCGATGCACCCAGACAGGGTGGCTTGGTTAATGCCCTTATAGAGTTCCTTCACAGTAACGAGCACCTGCCCAGCCAGCTGGCCCACATAATTCATGGTTTGAGACTGTAAGAAAACACAGGATACGATGTTAACGCTGAACCAAGAACCAATGACAATGCGAGACAAGACAAAACTAGTGGTGACTGAACCCACACCGCTTGTTGGTACATCACAACAGCACAGCTCTCCCACTGCCACTATGCATGTATGTCTACATGTCTACGCACGGTTGGTCTCAGACTGAGAGGCTGTCCCCAGCCTGGATGGAGGCTGTGGAAGTTACCTTTCCTTACAAGCCACCAGGGGTGGGGTTAATGCTCACTAGGAAGTCCCTACATCCAACCCCCCCTTCCAGGAGCTCAGGACCTGCACAGAGTCAGCAAAGAACTCTGACCACCACGGCTGCACTCCAGCCAAGTAGAACCTACTGCACCCACTCTTACACAGCAGCCAAGCAGAAAAGGTCCAGGGGGATCACCTCTGGGAAAAGCTAGACCCATCTTCCCAGGGAAGAAAGGGATGAGACCTGGGGTCTGCAATTGAAGTTAAAGAATATTAGGATTCAGATACATGCTGTATCCAAGGACCTACAGTGAGCTGGCATAGGACTAACATATTTGAACATTATTTCCAAGAGAATCCCTTCAACACCTCAACACAACTCAGTGGGATACATATCCACATTCTACAAAGTTCAAAGCACAGAAAGCACTTTTAACCTTGTTCCCCAACCTCAATTACTACCCAAATCAGGATCACCGGCGATCTGTAAAAGGTGGAAGAAGGCAGGCAACAGCTAAACCAGACTCTCCCTCCCAACCTTCTACAGAAAAACCCAAGCCACACAGAAACAAAGCCTTAGTGCTAAGGCTGTCAGATCTTATTCCAGCTGAACACACTGCCACAGTTCACTCCATAGACACCCTAACGTTACGTCAGGGCAGGGTCCACAGGACGTCCTTCCTCTTGATGTGCAGCAAGATGACACCCTCCAGGACTCAGGGACTAGAGAAGCCAATGTTTACTGACCCTCAGGAGCGACAACTCCAGGCATGCAACAGAAAGAAGCACAGGGGGTCTAACCCAACTACGGCGTTGATCCAAGTTCAAAGTTCGTCTCTGCAAAGTTCTGGAGAGACAGCTAAATCCAAGGTGGAACTCGAGAAGTGCTAATCCCTCAAGAAGCTGAAGGGGCCTGCCAGGTCCCCTGCCTGCACGTAGCTCATGCCGCCCTCCACAGATGGGCCAGTGCCTGGCGTAGCACCAATTCCACTCAATAGTCTTTTCTGCTCTTACAGAAATAAATATGTGACCAGGTTTTATCAGGTCTATACCATAAGCATAGCCCTGATCATTTTCACTGGATATTATGTGACCAAGGCTTCAAAATGCATCCACAGAAGAGCTAGCTTTGAGCAAGGTATACTAGCAAGCATGTGTTCTAGTTACTGTATTAGGAAGGGGCACCTTTATAATATGAAACAATTACCAGCTGGTGATTTGGGTTTTAGAATGATTAATTTAGCTTCCATAGCAAGGCCAGATTAAGCACACGCCAAATACTCATTTTTATTCTTTTGAGACAGGATCTCACTTTGTACTGGGACTTACTGTGTAGCCCAGGCTGGCCTAGAACTCAAGGCAACTCTCCTATTTTAGCCTCTCAAGTGCTGGGATGCAGGTGCATGCTACTGTATCTGACAGTAATTTCTGGAATGAATAAACAAATGAACTATCAATAAATGAAACTTAAAAATACCCACTTACCACTTTTTCCATGTGTGTAAAGAAAATACTGTTTCATCGAAAACCCTTGTATTCTCACTGTTTTTAAAAATTAACTTTTCTAGGCAGGAGGATCAGGTGTTCAAGGCCTGCCTAGGGTACAGAAGTTCTTGTCTCAAAAACTCCAAATAAACAAACAATTTCTACTTTGAGGCCCCTGTAGGTTCACAGGGAGTTCTAGGAAGGATTACAGTCAGAGTTAATGTGTTCTTGCTGAGCCTTGCAGCATCCCAACTGGATGTCAACCCCAACTCAGGGAAGACTCAGACCATGGTCAGCAGCCCCACAATCCTTCCTGTGGCCCCGCAATTCCTTCTTGCCTTCTCTTCCTCCTTAGTCCCTAGCAACCATTAATCTGATCTCCATTTCTGAAATGTTTGTCATTTTAGACAAGGAGCTATATAAATGACACCATAAAGTATGTAGTCTTTTGGGATGACCTTCTTTCCCTCATATTTCTCTGGAAATTCATCTAGGTTGCTGTGTGTATCAACAACTTGTTCCTTTTTATTGCTGCACAGTATTCTATGACATGGACTTACCATTTAAAAAAATCATTTACTTGTTGAGGGACAGCTAAGCTGTCTACAGTTTCTAGCTATTACAAATAAAACCACAATTATAAATATCTACACAGAGTGCTCTTTGCAAAAATGAATTTTCATATTCCCAGGACAAATGGCTAGGAGTACAATGGAATGCAACTATTCAGTTGCATGGAAACTGCATGCTTAACTGCTTTAGAACACTGTCAACCTGTTTTCCAGAATTTTTGCCATTTAACATTCCCACTAGTAATGTCTAAGACAAGAAGTTATTTGACATTTTTATTTACTTTGGTTATGAAAGGTGTATAGAGATTTGCATTTCCCTAACAGCTAAAGATGCTGAGCATTCTATACACTGACCTGCCAAATGAGCATCTACTTCATTTCATGACAGAGTCCTGCATCAAACTTAGAGGAGAAGGAATGCTCATCTTTGTTTCCTATTTCTGTGGACATGGTATACAACTTTACTATGCTAAGGGTGTCTCCAAAAATAGAAGTGAAATAAAATTCACTTCAAAGTAGTCCACTTTTCCACTTCTTTTACTAGGAAATGTTTCCTTCAACCTGGCACACTCAGACCTTTCCTGCCTTGGAAGTTACATATGTTCACAACATGTTCTTGCCTGCTGCAGTACATCGGTTAAGCGGCGCCCACAAGTCAGTGTTTCTGTGACTGACTGACTGACTGACTGATGGCAGTGGTAAAATGAACGCTGTTACAGCCTCTAAAAGAATCATAATAGTACAGACAGGCCTTTAAAACAAGAAGCTGAAAAGTGATAACTTTTAAGTATCTACATTCAGCCATAAACAACTGTCTTCTAAATGTGTAACAAGCTTACATCAACTCGAGTATAAAATCCGTAATTAAGTGTAACAACATCTATTCGAGATGATTTTAATTACCATGGTTAAGGGATGTGCTGTTAAATGTGAAAAGCCATTGTGTAAATGCTAGTTGCTAAATGTAGAACACAGGCTGTCAAGCAACTGGTTTTCTCTCAGCAGATAGGAAGTGATTCAGCTGATGTTATGGAGGCTGGGAAAAGAAAAATAAATGGAGCCAAGGCCTTTACACATACTGCATCCTAGAAACGACTAGCAGCAACTGTCATCTCACTGACCCTGGAGAAAGAGCCTTCCTTCCTCATGGTTCTGTCTGTAGAAAAGCAGTTGCTTTCATATGCACATGGGGCATGTGCTACAGCTTCCTCTTTAGGCAGAATCTAACACCATGAAGCAGTACATGGAAGCCCAGCACCAGCCACATAAAGCCCACCAAGAGGCAAGAGAGGTCTCCAGCCAGACTGTGCTGGTCAACACCTGAGGAAACCAACCTTGAACAGAATTATGCAACCCCAGTGCAGGGAAGTGCACCACCCCAAGACACTAGCTTCTGAAGATGAAAAACAGCAAAATAATAAACAGAAAATTATTTTATAGTCAATGAAACAAAAGGTGAGAAGAGAAGACATGATACTAAAGAGCGCAGAGTGACAGAGATCAGGGAAAAGAATGCTGGGGGAAAACTCTCAGGAAGAGTCACAGACAAAAGAGAAAAAGCAAAAGTGAAAATAGAAAACATCTCAAAGGCGGGCTGACATGAACTGCTCACACAGAAACTGAGCCCTAGAAGGGAAGCGGTTTCAGTGCAGCCTCCTGACCTCAAGGCTTACAGGCATAATTAATACACAAGCACACACGTACATACAAATCCACAAGAGTTCATTCTGCCCAATCTTTCATCAAATACATAAAAAATGCCTCCACTGGATCTCTGAAAGATGGTAATGCTAATAAATGTAGCAGCAGGAACTTTCTGAGCTTACATACCCCATTTTAGACCCAGACTTGCATTATCATCTCAGATACCTTAAAGGGAGGTACCATCTATTCTGGGCTATGCACTCTTATTCTTTAAAATATCTGAAATGACTGGGCCTACTTTCACTTTTATGATTAACTAGACAACTGGTTATATCTTTGTTTAAACAACATAACCCAAACTAGACGCCATGGCTCATTGTGACCCAGTCTGACTGACAGAGAGTATACAGAATATATACAGTATTCTGCGTAGGTCTATGTACCTGCCTCAGGGACTGAGTTAAATATGAAGTGCTCCCAAGAAAAAGAGATACTTATTGATCACTGAATGTTTAAATCAAAGGACTCGGTAGACAACAAGCAACTAAAATATGTACTGAAGGTCAAATGGACTTTCACACATAAAGCTCAACAGGCTGAGTAGTTCTTCATGCATGAAATTCAAAGTGTTCACTACAGATATCTTTTATCAAATGTTTTAAAGAAGAGGACAAATCTAGAGTAAATGGGAATCTTCAACACTCAATAAAATTCAAAAAGCATCAAAGAAACTAAACTAGATCA